CTTGATCAATCACTGTGCTTGATCGCCGATGTAATCGATCGGCAGGCATTAGCAAGCGATCGCCGATCTCATCGATCGGCAGGCATTAGCAATCGATCGCCGATGTCATCGATCGGCAGGCATGAGCAATCGATCGCCGATGTCATCGATCGGCAGGCATTAGCAATCGATCGCCGATGTCATCGATCGGCAGGCATTAGCAATCGATCGCCGATCTAATCGATCGGCAGGCATGAGCAATCGATCGCCGATCTCATCGATCGGCAGGCATTAGCAATCGATCGCCGATGTAATCGATCAGCAGGCATTAGCAATCGATCGCCGATGTAATCGATCGGCAGGCATTAGCAGTCGAGCTCCAGGCGATGGATCAAGGCAGAAGAAGTCACGTGCAGAGTGCTGGATCGTGGAGGGAGCAATCGCGTGCAGAGTGATGGATCCCTCAGGTTCACTCACGCACACACACACACCCAGGCACGCCCAAAAACATTCGGGCACACTCAGACACACTCAGGTACACCCTGACACGCCCAGACACACCCAGGCACACTCGGACACACCCAGACCCATTCGGGCACACTCAGGCAAACTCTATTCCTGTCTCTATTCCTGTCCTCACCCCCATCCCTTTCTCCTCCCTGTCCCCATTCCAGTTCCCTCTCTCTGCCCCCATCCCTGTCCAAACTCCTCTCCACCAACTTCCCCATCCCCATCTCTGCCCAAAAACTCCTCCCCAAATCCCGCCCTCCCAAATCCCCTGCGGAGGCACCACAGCGTCACCACGCCGATGTGACACGGCGGTTTAATGGGGCGGGGGGTCCCGGGTTCACAGGGGCTGCACGGCCACGGGGTAGAGCAGGGACAGGTGGCGGGCACCGCGCACGGGCAGTGCCCGGGCCGTGTAGTGCCCCACGGCCGCTGGCACCGACGGGAAGGCGGCGCCGGCCCGGCCCAGCGTGAAGTGCTGCTCCCGGGTCCGCGTCAGCTTCACGTGCACGAAACCGTGACTGCTCCTGTGGGACCGAGAGGAGTGAGGCACGGGATGGGATTGATGGGATGGGATTGATGGGATTGATGGGATTGATGGGATCGATGGGATCGATGGGATGGGGGGGAATAAAGTGCGGATCTGGACAGGGATGAGAATGAGGAGCAGGGACAGGATAGGGATGGGGACACGCGTGGGGGGACAGCTGGGACAGGAACGGGAATAGGGATGAGGACTAGGATGGAGATTGGGGCATGGACAGGAGTGGGGATGAGGACAAAGATGGGGTCCCCATCCAGAGCAGGGGCAGGGGTTGGCACTACCCCAGGCGAGGATCCCGGGTCACCTCCAGCCTGTCCCCATGCACGGCGACATCCCAGGGGTGCTGGCACACCCAAACACGCCAGCACCGGCTCCAACCCCACACCCACAGCCCCGATGGCCCCCGTGGCGGGGCTGTGCCCGTGTCCCCGTGTCCCCAGGCTCACCGGAGGGACAGTGAGTAGTCCTCGGGGCTGGTCTCGCAGTCCCTCACCAGGAAGCTGCCCTCGCGGCACAGCGCCAGCAGCGTCTCGGCGCCCGCCCGCCCGATGGGGCCGTGGTACCACCTGGGCACAGCGCGGTCACACGGGCACCCCCCGGGCCACCGGGACCCTCCCGGACCCCTCAGCAACGCGGGGCATCCCCTGAGGCCTGGGGACACCCCACACCCCACAGGGAGCTGCTGTGCCATGGGGCACCTTCATGGGGGCAGGCAAGGCATTGGCAACCAAAGGAGTCAGAGGGGCAACCACGCCATGGGGCACCCAACCATCCTGTGGGGCACCCAACCACGCCATGGGGCACCCAACCATCCCGTGGGGCACCCAAGCATCCCATGGGGCACCCAACCACGCCATGGGGCACCCAACCCCACAAGGATTCACCCATGACCCCCGTTCCCTCTACACCCCCCGGGGACCCACCATGTCAAAGGGCCCAACCCCATCATGGGACACCCCTGAGCCCACAGGGACCCGTCCATGGGGAACTCTCTCCCCCCGAGGTTGCCCCCATGCCACGCTGCGTGCCCGGGGTGCTGATGCCACCCCTTGGCTCGTCCCCAGACTCACGCCTGCTTCTCCAGGGGCAGCGAGGTGTCCACGTGCCGGGGGCTGGGGGGACAGCCCGGCCTGGGGGTGCCAGGGGGGCGGGGGGAGCGCGGCAGCTGCCGGGACAGGCTGGGCGAGCGCTCGGGGCTCTCAAACTGCACTGCGGGGACAAAGGGGGCGTCACCCGCCCCGCCTGGCACAAGGGAATGGCCCAGAGGTGGCTCTGCCCTGCCCTGTGTCCCATTGGGGGTCACAGGGTGTTGGGGTCCCAGGGGTGACAGCCGTGGGTACATGGGGGGGAACCCCAGGGTGCTGAGGTCCAGCACTGATCCCCCAGGGATGCGGGGCTGGGGGACCCTGGGGTGGTCCCCACGGGCACTGGAGGATGCTGAGAGCCAGGAGTGGCACCCACGGGAGCTGTGGAGCCCAAGGGTGGCATCGGGGGACGCTGTCACCTGCGAACGCCCGAGAGATGTGATCCTTCTTCCACTCCCAGGGCTGGTCGTACTCATCGGCCGGGCGCTCGTCATCGCGGGGGAGGCGGCTCTGGCGGGCCGGGGGTCCCCCCGGGCCATCCCCGGCCGTGTCCCACTCCTCGGAGGGGGTGTCATAGAGCTGGGGACCCCGGCGTGGACGCACCCGTCTGCCCTCGCCCTGCCGCGGGTACCCTGGGGGGGGGGCACGGGGTAGTGGGAGGTGCCCGGGATCCCCGGAGGGTGCTGGGGGTGCCCGGGGTGTCACCCACCTGGGGAAGGTGTCACCCACCTGCGAGGGGTGTCACCCATCTGTAGGGGTCTCACCCACTTATGAGAGGTGTCACCCACCTGGGGAAGATCTCACCCACCTGGGGAAGGTCTCACCCACCTGGGGAAGGTCTCACCCACCTGTAGCCTCCTCGTCGCAGCCCTCGGGCGCCGCCTCCTGCTCCCCCTCGAAGGGCTCTGAGTACTCGCTCTCACCTGGGCCCTGCTGGGGGGGCTCGGGGTAGGACGAGACCCCCCCCTGTTTCCCCTCCTGGGTCCCTGGGTGCCCTCACGGGACCCTTGGGGCTCCCACAGCCCCCACTCGGGTGTCCCCAGCTCCGTCCCCCCTCCCGCCCACCCGGTCCCTTTGTCCCCAACCCCTCTCCCCTTCCCCCTC